ATCTACTGCATCTTGGTCAGCTCCAGCATCAAGCAGCAATCGGACAACTTCCAAGTGGCCCTTCTTGGCTGCAATGAGCAAAGCCGGCCAACCAGACCAACCATCTGTATCTGCTGCATCTTTGTCAGCTCCAGCCTCGAGCAACAATCGCACAACTTCCAAGTGGCCTTCTTGGGCTGCTATGTGCAAAGCCGTCCGGTCATCTGTATTTGGTGCATCTTTGTCAACTCCAGCCTCGAGCAACAATCGCACAACTTCCAAGTGGCCTTCCCGGGCAGCAAGAACAAAACCTTCCTCGTTCGGGTCCAATGGCTGTTGAAGCAGCCTTTCAATGTCAGTCACATTATTCTGCTGGCAGCTCCTGAACAGTTCTTCTTGCATGGTCTCATCAGGGGCACACAAGGGCAGAATTACCAGCTGGACACTTGATAGTGCTCGTAAAGGCAAGTCATCCTCCAATTCGCCAAGCTCGTCACTGAAGAGTCTTTGCTGAAACCTTGAACACCCAACCTTAGCTGAAAGAAGTCGCTTAAGGTCTCGAACCAATTGCCCACTTTCCACCATGTAACGCAGCTCTTCCTCATCAACCTGAGCAATCGTGTTGCCAGACACAGCGGTAACCTGCATTTTTGAGGTTTCATAAGCCAGAAGCGTTGGCTTGAGCCGTGGTCAAACTCCAGGTAGAAAAACCATGCCAAACATTGAGAACAAGCAATGCTTTCTAAACGTGAACCAAACACACACAATGCATGAAATATTGGCCTTCCTGGCCTTCCTGCATCGAAGTCTACCATCACTCACCAACCCCTTGATAGCACTTGCTGACTGACAGTTTTGACCACCTATGGTGGCTTGTATGACCACCGGCGAGGCAGCAACATTAAAACCCTCTCGGCAAAGAAAGCTCTCTATACCAGGACCCTCCACGGGGTGCCCAATGGAAGCCTATAGGTAGTGTGGGGTAGTCCATTGGACACCCCTTGGAGGGTCCTGGTATAGAAGAAATTGATCAAGCCTGGAGGATCATCCCCCAACAGGTCTGTCTCGTGTGTTAGTTCCATCCTGTCGACGGGTGTAGTGTTCTGGAGATCAAACACCCAGGATACTCCTGGTAAGCTCTCTGACATGGTGTGTGTGCCATGTGCCCAAGAAGATTGAAAAGCGGTCCACTGCTCATCATGTAATCAAGGCTCGACTCCCTCCCCCCCAAAAAAGTGATATTCCTTGGTTAGCTTTAAGTAAGTTACCTTGCGTACCTTGCTTGGAAAGTGACGCTTTCTCAGCTCCAAAATCCTTCCCTTCGCCCGGTTCCAGTCACGTCCGAAAAAGGGCGAGCGGAAGAATCCGGAGCGGGCGCGCTGGAACAGCAGCAGCGACCCAAAGTCCGGTCGCCTAGGATCGTGCTCCAGCTTCGTGGCGAACAAGGTCTTCAACGCCTGAGCCGCGGCGCGCCGCGGTAGATGGTTCCATTTCGGTAGAGCACAGGTGGACCGTAGATAGGACCCGTAACCTGAGGTACCGAACTGGGATAGTCGAACAAATGTGTTCTGAAAAAAAAACACTCAGACTGGCATAGGAGGAAACATGAATTTGAAGAGCGTAAAAAAGTACACTTCCTACAACAAATATGGAAGTGGACAACACCCTGTTTGTAGAGGAGAATGGTCGAGAAGGGTCTTTCCGCGGGCTATTGCCCACTTCCATGATTCTTTTTCTGGGAGGGTGCAGTGATGCTTCTTGATCTACAGTCCCTAGAAGTCGAATCACCATTGTTGTAATAGCCTGAATCCCGAACAACCATTGTTTCACTAAGGGTTTTACACTAAAACCAGATCAACCATTCTTAAAGTGGTGGACTTGACTGACTTGACTTCCAGGGCAGTGTTCAGTCTTTTGGAGACCACTCATTTTCGGTGGAACCACTTGGTTCATCATTTCGGGGTCCAAACCAACCGAACCCCACGAACGTGACGTTTTCACCGAACGTTCCGCACATTCAAGTGCGCCCCTCGTACCATCACCTCGCCGGATCACGAGGTAAGACGACCTGCCTCGAAACGCAGCAACATCAGGAACCAGAGGTTGGCAGAGTCCCTAGGGCTCCAACTATATCCTCAGGTTTGGTGGACCTCCTAAACCCACCCCTGGCCCACCGAACCGAAACGGAGGTGGTCGGAGCCCAAACGGGAGTATTGTATACCAACAACAGAGGCCAATGTTCACAACACCCCGGTTTTGGGGTTTGAGTTCGTCCAGTTTTGGGAATATAACTTGTTGAGGTTTTTTCTGTTGGCAACAGAGGTTGAAGAACCCTATATAGGCATGGCTATCCTATGGGTCCCCCAGGTGACGGGTCCTGGTTCAGGTTATCGGCTACCTCTCTTGGTACCCCCATATGTCCACTCGCAATGGTGCGGGGTTCGTGACGGCGAATCCATGGTCTGCATATCAAGTCACCTCCGCTTTGGCGATCTTATGTAGATCTCTCAGCTTCTCCTCTGCCATCGGCAGGTGTTGCATGGCACGTTCGTTCATCCGCTGGCGATAGACCTCAACAGGCCACGGATGCTGTTCGTGGGGGGTCGAGTGAACGTTCCAGACCACCAGCGCCGGGGAAGACATGGGGTCCATTTCAGGACCCACCTCACCACGACGAGACATCTGGACTAGCACTGCTAGGGCGTTGCAATCACCATGCAGGACGACTGCCCCCCCCATTCACCATCGCCATGCACGTGCGATCCACCTCACCACCCGGTTAGTGGATGGTGCTGGAACTGTCTGTGACCTCTATACCTCTTAGTACGCCTCCCTTGGGTGCTACTTGGTTCAGGGCATCCATTAGTTGGCCTTGCCCACAATAAATAATTAATAATAAGAGATAGACAATTGCAAGGCCATTAATCTATTATTTATATTGGTCCCGCCTATTTTTTTTAAATCTTACCTTTATTATTTATGGCGGGACCAACCTATAAAATAATATATCTTTTACATGAATGAATCCTCCATTAAAATATAAGACCTACAGCATAAATAATTATATGGAGGATTCATGAATTATTTCTCTTCAATCATCTCTTATTATAATTCCCTGATCTTGGGAGCAACATTATTAATAATGATAGCATATTTTCTTTTATATGTTGCTCCCACAATTATAATATATTATCGGGTTGCCGGTTAACGACTTAAGAGATAAGAAGAGGAAAGGAAAATATTTGGCAACCCAATTAATAAACCTGTGCTAGCGGATGACCTCATCCAAATTGTTAAATGAAATTGGATGATCCACTATTCGATCCATTGACCGCCCCTGTTCAGTGGCCTTTCAACGCATCTAAACACCTGGGACCATGGGGTGTTGCTCAAACCATCCATGGGACTATTCCAGTCCGATAGTCTGTGTATTGGGCCACCTCTTCGCGCCATCTCTTCCAACCGAGCCCCGCGCCACCGCCGAGCCCTGCCACAAGAAAACAACCAAAAAGAGATCCAACAAACCCCCTCGTCAAACATTAGCATGGTGAGCCACTGAGCCACTCCTTGCTGGTGTACGGGACATATATATATATATACAAAATCTGATCAGGCTCTTATCTCTAACCAAACTGGATGAACATGGATGAACATTCGGAGAGGTCCAACCCCTCCTCCTTCTCTCTTCCAGAACCCAAATCACCGTTCCACCGCGCCCCTTCACCGCGCGACCCTCCAGCCGCGCCTGCACGGCGTCGCGCAGCGCCAGGCGGAATTGGTGCTGCACGACCGATGCCCAGGCGGCGTGGATCGTGGGCACCGCGCTACCTGGGCGTGGCGAAGCGGCGTGGGAGGCGTCGAAGTGGTAGGTGGTTGTGCCCCAGGGCGGGGCGGAGGAGGTAGTGCCCCAAGGCGGGAGAGGGGGCATGACACATATGTACAGTATACACCTATGTTGTCACCTGAAACCACGGTAGATATAGACCGTAAGTAGCATGCCATGCCATACATGAAGCGTCTGCGTCAGTGCGTTGGAGATATGTCCAGCATGTTCCGGCCAACATGACCAGTTGGCGAACCGCCCAGACCGGGCGACATGTGGAACACCGACCCGGCGGACGCTTGGAACATGTGCATGTCCACCTCCAGTCCGGTGTCAACCAGCTCTCCTACCAGGACCCGCAGGAGTTGGGTGGTTAATGGACACCCTGAATCACAGCTAAGAGGCTATGATGGGCTATGAATAAACACCCCGACAGGATGGTCCTGGTAGGGCCTGGTAGGATCCTAGCGTTCTTTCCTTCTTTCGATTGAAGACGATTGGGGAACCCGCCACCCGCCAGCCCAACGACAAAGTGGCAATCCAGCTAAGACTAGCCGACTAGCCGATGTGTCCATGGCCGCTTGGCAAACGAACCTCGTACGTCACCGGTGCAAATTTTTCTCTAAAGATCCCATTGGCTCCAAGTGCCTTCGTTTCGAAGGTGTTTGAGGTGGGTTTGGAGGAGGCTCCAAGTGCCTTCTAACGCTTCTAAGAAGGTGTTTGAGGTGGGTGCCAGGAGGGTCCAGTCATACCTTCTGAGGAGGTACTTGAAGCCCTTGGGGAAGACCAAATCACACCCCAAAGAAACGCGCGAAAGGGGTGGGGCCCCAGTCGGTGCAGAATGGGCGGTGACACGTTCGCTCAGAGTGGGGCCCCAATACTTGGATTTGCTTCAAAGGAACTTAGAAAAATAGTCCCCCAAAGGGGATTTAAATGGATTTCACATAACTTATGCATAGTATAGGGAACATGAAGACATCACCTGAATCAGCAAAACCCGGTGTTCCATTCGACCACGGCGGCCATTGATGGCTTTGCAGTACTCCGAGGCCAAGTCCACGAACATCCGACCCGTGACCACCTCGTGATCGGCGTGGAGCGCGGGACGAGTGGACGCGCAGCTTGGGGCGGTGCATGTGGGGCCGCGTGGGGGGGCCCAACAATCGATTGGTAGATCGAAATAGTTATATACATATCCCCAGGGCTCCAACCACCTCCTGAGAAGATGGTTGGGGTGGGTTTGGGGGGGGTCTAACCACCTTCTGAGGATATGGTTGGAGCCCTAGGGTATATACACGTTCAAACTTAAACATCTTAACTTAACATAATCTAATACTTTAAAACCACCCTCATGTTATCATGTCGGATATGTATCAAAGATCTGCACATTCACTCTTAAAAACGTCTAGATCACCACCCTCATGTATACTTGTAGGAGATGTGTGCAAATATGTCACACCGGGGTTCTCTGGGGTATTGCACTTGGATCTCCTCTTCTTGGACGGGAAGCTCCTTTTACAGAGCACCTGGAGGACGCCGGAGTCGTTTTCTCCGTGGTGCAGTGCCCCGTCCCGCCGTCCCCTTGAGCTCTCCCGCGTTCCCATCGATCTTCTTCGGCTTCAAGTAGGTGTAGACCTGCTCGGCTGGGGCTCAGCTGACAGCGGTGCCGTGGTGTCGCCATCGGCCCAGCCGCATCTTCGGGTCTTCGGCGTTCGCCGGAGGCGTCGTTGCGAGGCAAAGCTCCAGCAGCCGCAGACTTCGAAGGGTCTCATAGATTTCCAGACGTGCCATGGATGGTTATATAATAGTTATCCCCATTTCTAGGACCTGATGTGTCTGACTATACTCCTTACATGGATGGTGCTGGAGTGTTGGATAAGTCATTTGCTTTTTGGGGGGGGGCGCTGTCACATCGCCTGTCACGGACCGCGCCTTCTTGACAAAGGCTTCGACCTGGGTTCGGAATTGGGGCCTCAGCTTCTCGTAAGGCACCTGCAGCACGAGACGTGTTGATGCAAAGGCCACCGGGGTTGATGCAGATCAGCAGGCTGTAGCGGATTGAATGCTAGATTCCGCTACCAGGAGTCACAATGAGCTCGGGGTGGCATGGCGTGGCTCGTCCCCAAGTGAGTGGATGTGACAGGTTCGCGCCCCGACTTCCTCCATGGATCGCACCCTGTCCGCCATGTGACTGCTAGCTAGATGCTTTTTCGTCATGCCTCACTCTTCAACCAGTATATAGTACTGCAAGGTGAACAGAACCGAGAGGAAGAGAGATAACAAAAAAGTGCAAAGAAGGACTACACAATGCACCGAAACCATGCAAATTGAGTGGGATGCTGCAAGAGGATGGTCTTCATGATTATCCCAGCTTCAAGTACCTCCTCAGAAGGTATGACTGGACCCTCCTGGCACCCACCTCAAACACCTTCGAAACGAAGGCACTTGGAGGCCTAGGGTATATCATTCTTTGAGGTCCTTCACGGCTGGAGGTCGCCCTCCCAGCATGCTATGCTGCATGCGGATCTCTGGCTGAGGCTGAGAGCAGGGAGAACTGGACCTCCCAACCCCCAACGTGAAAACATGGGAAAACACCGGGAAAACCCCGTGCAAGCTGGACATGGGACAAACCTCTTGTTCAATGCCAAGCTGGACATGGATTAAAACCTGCTTCAATGGCAACTGGACCGGAGTTCGGGGGAGCAAAAGAGGAACAACCCAAAAAAACACCTCCCAAGTGTTCACTTCATCGTGCCGCTCCGCCGCTCCGCCTGTTGAATGTTCCGCAGGTCCGCTTCCTCCGCCACGGGCCGCACGATGGTCACGCAGTCCCGCTCACGGAAGAGATCCTCGCACGAACGCTCGAGGATCGGTCCGAAGCGGGAGGGGTTGGACGGTGGACCAAATGCTCGTCTGGTCAAAGGTGTCTAGGAATTCGAAGGGAAAAAAAAACCAAACACGACCTGCCTGGGACTGCCAGAGCTGCCGAGAAACAGCTGTGGTTCTTTATGTTTGTCCCAAACAGGTCGTGTCTAGGAAATCAGGAATCGAAGCGCCTGGAAACCGTCGGAAGAGCCTGTTGAAAGTGCCTGGGAATCCCAGAGAAGAAGCCAATGCTTGAGAATGAAAAAAGTAAATTGTGCATCTGAGTCGATTCATAGACCAAACAACCCACCAAAAAAATTATTTTACTTCGAAATTCCCCACCCTCAAAGAATTGGTCTTCACAAGAGAAAAGCGGTTCGGCGCGAAAAGGATTCTTTATTGAAAACAAAGCCACACATCGAATACTTACTTGTGAGGTTTCTGAACTTCGATATTTTAATGCCTGGCAACCCCACATCCCTGCCAAGTCAACTTGTGGTGGATATGCTGTGGAACTGGTACTTGGGAGCACTCTGGTGAATGTGCTGGTGTAAAGGCTACGCTGGGCTACTCGGGGCCACTCTGGTGGATGTGCTGTGTTCTTTGGGTTGCTCTGAGCTACGCTGGGACCACTCTGGTGGATGTGCAGAAGTAGCGAGTCTACTGAAGTCCAAAGTTCTTAAAATCTAACAGCCCCACAGTCCTACGGGTGGGGAAAAAACTGCTTTGATAAGTACATTACAAGTCTACAACTATCCTGCGATCTCTTTGGTAAATGTGCTGTGGAGAAGCTAAGTTGCGCTACTAAAAACTGTGGTTGCTGTGGACAAGCTAAGTTGAACTACTTAGAAATTAGTTTGTGAATGTGCTGTGGAAGAGCTAGGCAGCTAGGTTTAGCTACTCAGGGATCAGTTTGGTGAATGTGGTGTGAATACTCAGAGGTCATTTTGGTGAATGTGCTGTGGAAGTGCTACGTTGAATTACTCAGGGATTACTTTGGTGAACAGGGATCAGTTTGGCGAGCGTGCTGTGAAAGAGCCACTTTGGGCTACTCAGAGATCACCTTGGTGAACGTGCTGTGGAAAAGCTAGCTTGAATACTCAGGGATCACTCTGGGGAACGTGCTGTGGAAGAGCTACTTTGGGCTACTCCGGGATCTCTTTGGTGAACATGCTGTGAAAAAGCTACTTTGGGCTTCTCAAGGATTACTTTGATCAACGTGCTGTGGAAGATCTAAGTTGGGCTACTCAGGGATTACTTTGGCGAGTGTGGTGTGGAAGAGCTAAGTTGGGCTAGTCAGGGATTCCTTTGGTGAACGTGCTGTGGAAAAGCTACTTTGGGCTTCTCAAGGATTACTTTGGTCAACGTGCTGTGGAAGATCTAAGTTGGGCTACTCGCGGACTACTTTGGTGAGTGTGCTGTGGAAGGACTAAGCTACTCAGGGACCACTTTGGTGAGTGTGCTGTGGAAAAGCTAAGTTGGGCTACTCAGAGACCACTTCGTGAGTGTGCTATAGAAGAGCTAAGTTGGGCTACCGGGCGTGCTGAAGTCCAAAGTTCTAAAAATCTAACAACCCCACAGTCCTACGGGTGGGGAAAAATCTGAGCATCCACACACAAGTTGTGAAGTGCTCTGCCAGCAGCTTCGCCCGCGCCAACGGCAAGAGTCACTTTGGCCAGCGTGCTGTGGAAGAGCGAAGTTGCGCTACTCAGGGATCACTTTGGCCAGTGTGCTGTGGAAGAGCTACGTTGCGCTACTCTGGGATCACTTTGGCCAGTGTGCTGTGGAAGAGCTAAGTTTCGCTACCCAGGGATCACTTTGGCCAGTGTGCTGTGGAAGAGCTAAGTTGCGCTACTCAGGGATCACTTTGGCCAGTGTGCTGTGGAAGAGCTAAGTTGGGCTACCGGGCGTACTGAAGTCCAAAGTTCTAAAAATTAAAAATCTAACAACCCCACAGTCCTACGGGTGGGGAAAAAGACAACACACACACAAAAAAATAAATAAATAGAAAAACAACCACCAGCACCTTCCTTACGGGGCCACCTGTCTGGTTTCGCCCCAGCCCACCACTCTTCGGGACCTCTAGACAGGACATGACAGGACACCCCCGATTCAGAAAGGTTCCATTGGAGGTTTTGATGTACCAAAACCATCCCACCTCGGGGGGTGTTCGCATCCGGTTCGCATCCCATGCAGATGACCTCTCGGACCGTCATCACTCCTTGATGACCTCTCGGAGCTGATTCTTCTCCTGCCGGATGAAGCGGACCGATGACTGCAGCACAGGTGTTGTGAAAAGCCCTCTGAGGGAAAAAGGCACATCGTTTTAGAGAAGGGCCACCCAAGGCAACCCGTTTAATAGTGGAAATGGTTTTGGGGGGGCCAGTTTTATGGCGTGAAATGATCCATGTTACAAAGCATGATGTTCCTCCCAAGATGGTCTGCTATCAACATCGATCAAAGATGTTTGCAGGTTTATCTTTTGACATTATATTGTGGAGACGGGTGCCTTTTGGAAGTTCAACAGAATGCGTTTGAAGGGAAGAATCTCTTTCAGGGAGCTAGTTCAGCGCAGTTCCCCCCCCCAAAAAGGCCTGCTCCAATGTCCAAGGGAGATCAAAGCGATACCTAATGTGGACTGTGGATGATCTAAACCCTGCAAAACTGGAGACAACCGAGACGAAGAGAGTCAATCAACGGCAGTTCATGTTCATCCTAGACTGTCCATGATCAGTTGAAGTGACCCCGCTCTAATCCTTCAAGACATCTTCTTTGGGGTGCCCCTTCTGGCCGAGGGCGTGAACTCCCCAGCAAGTTGCGGACTTATTGGACCGTTTTGCTGGAGGTGCCAACGCAGGATCTTCAGATGTACAGGGTTGTCAACCCAGAGTGGTGACTCCTTACTTGCCATCTTAGAAAATTAAGTTATATAACCGAACGAACTGCACCTCTTCTTGGTTCGTGGGGCGTCCCCAATCCCTCAAGGAACATGAAAGCGGAATTGAAAAACGTCTTCATATGGGGCAGTTGTGGTCCTCAAGAGTCTACAGTCTACACTACCCCACTCCCGGCTTCATACCGCTCCTCGTGTCCCGGGTTGGGGCGCAAAGCCCTTTCCAAGTACTCCTTCTCACTGATGCTTTGGCCCTTCTCATCCGCCAGGGACAGGTGGAAGTCCCGCAGGACCCAGAGGAAGATGGGAAAATACAGCGACAAGTCCTTCCGGACGGCTTCCGGGATTGGTTCCGGAGGTCGGAACCATCAAGCGAAACGCTCAGGCGTTTTCCCATCTCAAGATCAATCGAAATAGATGTCTTTAAAGAAACCAATCAGAATTTCTCAACGCCGAGGCGTCGAGTGGACCGAGGGACCGATGCACTGGATGAAGACGCTTCGCTACTACGTGTGTTGGAAGTGGATCCACCCATACTCAGGGGATTGGCCCCCAAAAGCCTGACTGGTGGGTGGCTTCAACTCATGAACGAAAACTATGAGTCAGTTGGCTCAGTGGGCTCAAAAATTGTCAAGTAAAGATTAAGAAGGACTAGAAGAAGGATATCTCTGAAACCACCACCCAGCAGCCTATAAATGGTGCGGGCAAGCCGACCTTGACATGTCCTCCATTGTCCTCTCAATGACTCACCCCCTCACCAGACACTCCATGTATATGCCATACAGATATATATATATATATACAGTTACACCTATACATTGACTCCTCACCTGGGCCTCATCTCACCGACACCTTCGGCTTCTCTTCGTGCTTCGTAAGGCACCGTGCCACCCGAGGCTCTGTTCGCTTCTCTTCCTCCGTCTTCCGGCGGCTCTTCACGTGAATGTGTTGCGCTAGGTTGAGGACTAAGTGAAGATCGTCGATGGCCTCACCCGTGAGGGCGGCGCAATCGTCGGGAAGAAAGACGAAGGAGACGATGAAAGAGGAAGGACCTGATGGATTGAAAGGGGGTTCTTTTGGAGAAATTCCCGAATCCAAAGTGTCCAACCCAAAGCATTCATGGGACTGGAAGTGCCGCTTACATTGGGGTCATCGATGATGGAGGTATGTAACTATTACTTTCATGGACGGTCTGGGCTATGTCTATGTGAGTGGAAACGCTACACCAAAACCAATGGATTCATAACATGACTTACAGTAGACTTAGTGCAGCACAGTGCAACCCTCTGTTGTGAATCAGTTTGCAAAGAAACGGTGGATGAGCATTGACACTTCCCCCCCAAAAATAGCACTATAGATCTAGTCAGAGGCCAAGCCTAGCTTCGACACTTGAGCATCTACCGTGTTTACTTCAACCCACCAGGCCGTAGCTTCGCAGGAAACGGACCCAGACCCGCTTTATTTAACTATTTCGCCAACACTCCATGTATGGCAGACTTCGTATACATTGGGGTGGTTGATCTGGACTCAATGTAAGCATACCAGTTCCATGTGTCGTGTCTGGCTTTGGAAAGGCCGGGGGTGTTCTCCTCGGCCACGCTGTCGCCACGTGACGTTCCGCTGACCGGTCCAACGCCTGCTCATCGATGACGCCCATGGAGTTGTAGATGAAGTACGAGGACAAGAGAAGGCCTAGTTTTGCTTCAGTTCCCCCCCGGTGACGAACAGCGTCGGAGGAAGGATTACGAACAGCGAGGCTTCCGTGACGAATGTCTGGCATGTCTGGCATGTCTGCACGAACGAAGGCCTTCTCTCACCAATCGCCGCCGCAAAAGCCCGTCGAAGTCACATGCATGGCAATGGCATAGGTCCACAGGCCAGTCCCATCATCCATGCTCTGGGAGTGTATTGATTGAATTATGCTTAAACTTTCAGTTGATTAAGTTCTTGACATCCACTGCTTGCCTCTGCCGGGCCTAGTGCCGGGCCCCTAGTATTCCCTGGTCCGCTGTCCATCCAAGAGGCACAGCGAGAAGATTTGCATGTCACAGCTGCTGCTCCTCTGAGTCGATCCTAAGCCTTCCGTATCCTCGGATGTGCAAGCCCAATGGCTGAGGAGAGTTGGCCCGGAAAAAGGGTCTCGAACAAAGGGCCCATGTGCTGCATGCATGTCAGTTGTCACAGCTTTGAGAAGACCAGAGAACCTGATGGAACCTGAAAAATGCAGGGAACGTCCGGGGATGCCGCTTAAAATGTGTCAAGTTGGCGAGTTGCGGGGTACCAAGTTCACCCCTACAGGTTGGCTTTGGGAAAAACATGTTTCAAAAACAGGGGAAGTGGCCATGAACAGAACTGAAGTCTTGTGAATGTTCCAGCTTTTTGTTCCATACACGCTCGAAAGTATTTCCAAGAAATTGCTTCACAATGTGTCAGAGTGAACCCTGTGCAATTAAACCTCTGGGCCTCTGGACCAACGACAACGAGTGCATTCTTCCAATCTGAAATGTTGGACCAGCACCACTCCTCGTCAGTGATGGATATAGTGAGGACCCCACGAGTCCCGCTACGACTTGGGAAAACAGAACCGCCCCCTGGGAGAAAAAACATTAAAACACAAAAAAAACCTGCCAGGACCTTCCAAGGGGCGCCCAATGGAAGCCCCAGCCCACCACTATAAGGGACCTCCATTGGACGCCCCGAAAGAAGGTCCAGGTGCATTCGTCCAAGACGCGATGAGGATGCAGTGATAGTCTGGAGCCAGCTGTACAGGTTGACCCCAGATCCACAAGCCCTTGGTGCAGGGATTCCTCAGCGATCAGAATTCCACAACACCCGGCGGGCTGGCTGAAATCACAGAATTCGAATGGGGCGGGAGCGAAAAAAGCAGGCACTCCGTATATGGTGTGTGTGTGCCTACATTGAGCCGTGAAACCACCCTAATGCAGCTAATGCAGCTGTAAATCTGCCCCCACATGGAGGATACATCCAGCAGTCACAATACAGGGTGCGATCCATGGAGGTTAGGGGTGCCCAGAACATCCACTCACTTGGGGACTAAACACTACCCCTTTGTGGCTCCTGGATGGAGTTTGTTTTTCCTGCACAGATCCTCCTCCGAGTCCCAGACTCCGACCCGTCGGCAGCGTGCTTGGGCTCGGCCCGTCGACGTTTGGCGCGTCGACGGTACTTGGCGCGTCCGGGTGGCACGGTCGGTCCAATCTCGAAGCCATCTTGTAGGCCTTGTTTGGGGCTGAGTGGAAGAGATGTTTGGAAGGATTGAAAGCATCGATGGCGGTCTTGGGTCCTCTATCAGCACTTGTCGTGGCTGGCTGCTGGATTGTAGCTTAGAGAAATCAAAGGTTTTCAAGGCCAGATTAAATTCATGCGGTCTATTAAATGCCTATACTAGAACCCACGCGCTCGGGGTATTAGACATGGACACCCCGAATCACCTCTAAAAATGGGGCTATTTCCCCCCCGGGGTTTCCCGGTAGACCTCAAACCCTAGAACCCAGACACTCCATGGGACGGCCACATATGCCTACATTGACCCGCCCTGGCACCACCGCCGTTTCTCGGCAGTCCTGCCAGGCAGTCCCAGACAGGTCGTGTCTGGGGAAGGTCGATCAAATTCATGCAAGCCTGGATCCCCACTTTTTCGTGTTGCACCGGACGGATCGGTCCCCTGTGGACGAAGAGAGTCGTCGACTTCTTCCATCATCGGACGGGCGCCCAGCTTTTTTCGTGAAATCAACAGACCATCCCCCAAGTGACCCAACGTTCAGATTGACATGGGGCGGAAGTGGGTCAAGACAGAGGTGACCCTGCTCTTTTTCCCACCCCAAAATGACCAGAATCAACTACCTGGCAAGTCCGCCCGGGTGAAAGGGGTCTGGGTGCAGCTCTGGGTGACGTGCTCCAACTGCGCTTCTTCCACACAAACACCGCCCATGGTCGCCCTCGCCCTTGGGCCCCCTGCCTAAAAGTCGATTCAGCAAGTAGGACTTCCCAGTGCCTCAGTGTCTTTCGTCAAAATTTTCAGCGAAACATTGGAATACATCTCGACACGGATGGTGAAATCACCAAAAATATCAGATCAAGCAAACCAAGCAGGCATTTGGGAGAACCTTGAGCACTCTGGGTTCCCTGACAGATTCTTGAGTTGATGTGGGTGTGGGTGGACAGCTTGCCAAAACAGAGTGATGCACGTGGTGATAGTCCTGGAGGTGCTTTGTGCACTGGTTTTGTGGCATCTGCGCCTCTCCGGGGGGGGGATTCCAACGGGTTTTCGTGTGCCCGACACCATCAGCAGCATCGCCACGCTACCTCTCGTGGTGCGGTGGGGCCGCGTTAGCCAAGGAGCGGTACAAGCCAGCAATGCCCACCACCGCGAGACGCCCAGGGATCTGGTTGAGGATGGCCACGGCATTGTCCTGCAAGTGGCACCTGAGGAGTCGAACCCTCACCCGGTTCTTCGGCGACGTCGTCGAACCGAAGTGAAGCGGATCTTAGACTCCTCGAGTCGGACCTCGAGTCGGTTGTCATGAGCCCTAAGGGTCCAGGGACGATCCGTTCCTGAGGATGTCCTGCCAGACCCCCCAAGAACGACCATTCTCAGGAAGTACGAACTCACCTCCAACAAGGCCATCCGAAAAGGAGGTACCTGGACCCTATGGGGAGGTACACGCCCGAGGTCGTCCCTGTGAGGGTCAGAGATCCCATTGGCACGTCAGGTACGTCAGTCGATGTCAGTCGGGTCCAGTGGCACGATGGTGGGTGATTTTTGTTGACCCGTGGGCGGTTTCTCTGTTGATTAACTGGTTGACTCTTTTCCCCTTTTTGGGCGTTGGTCTGTTGAGAAAACTGCAGGTATGAGAGTTATGAGGGCTTGAAAAAGTGGACCGCCATGGACCACCATCAGCTGGTGGGAGTCCACCTGCTCTCTTTGTTCAGCTCTTCCATGCGATTGACCGGGGTGAAGAGCAGTCCAAATCGAACCCAAGGCACGTCCCATCGTCATCGATTTGGATCAGTTGCAAGGGCCCACTGTAATAGCTGGCCTCCACCATTCCAAGCACCCATGCTGCCGTTGGCAGGCTTGGCTTCGCCGCGCTGCTGCCGTGGGTTTTGGCTTCGCCGCAGGTGTGGATGCTAGGCGAGGAAAATGCTAGTGGTGTGGAGCATTCACGGCTTGGGGGAAAGGCAGTCAGGGAAAGGCAGGGTCTGGGTCGTTTTGAGGTGCTCTCAAACATGGCAGAAGCTCAAACATGAGGTAAAACCCTCGTTTTGCGGGTCTCTTTCGACCTTGAGGTGCTGGGCTCTGGGTCCCACCTTGCGTCCTTGAGGAAACACGCTCAGCCCCCGGATCTCTGGTCAGCTTTGGCTTCCGGAACGGGTTCCACCGAACTCATGGTACCGGGCTGTGACCGAACGCTTTCAGAGCCCACTGGGGGCCTTCGGATCGGTTGCGGGGTTCCGTGCGGGAACCAAGGCTCGACATCACTTCTTGGAGGGACTTGATGCGCTTGATGACTGACCCTTGGAATCCAAGTCGAGTGGTACTTTGAATCGTCTGTGATTCTGAGTCAGCTGCATGTCGTCGTTCTCTTGCTTTGCTGATCCATGATGATTCCTTTATGCTGGCGATGGATCGATCGTGGCGCGCGCCAGGGGCAAGTCAGGCCAGCGGAGCATCATGACACCGGGAGGCACCCAGACCAGTCTGTGGAGCACCAGGTGAATGAACAGAAAATGACTGGTCCGGCAGGTCTATACCAGGACACCCTAATAGGTGTCTATTGATAGCCCCGAAAAGAGGTTAAGGGGTGTCCATTAACCACCCCTTGTGGGTCCTAGTATAATATTAGTCAAGAGTCTACCTTGCCCATTTTGAAAGGGGCTCCAGGGTAAAAGGACTCACAGCCGAGGAAGTTCATGAAAAAAAAGAACCTCAAGTGAAGCTGGGGTCGTTGGGGCCATGATGATTTTGGATGCGGGATTCCTCAGGATTTTCGTCCCGTCTCCAGGATTTTTTTGAACACGGAAATGAGGGAACTGCTTTTTTGCCACCAAGCTGGGCCTCCTCGCAGAAAAGTAATGAGGCTATTGATGCTTGTTCATCAACTATTACTCCCAAATAATCCATGTCTGGAATGTTTGCCAACAGGTGGCTTTAAGATGTTTTGAGGATCAATATTCCATGCCATGGACTGTTGGACCTGCCGATTCGCAGGTATATGTGCGATGCAAATGATGTCAGAGTCTGAGCTTTTGCCACAGCCGTCTGATCCAAGAAAAGCCTTCTACTACACATTGTCTGTGGCTCTACCTCCCAAACCTCGAACGCCTTCCCAGTTTGAACACCCAAACAGTACCCAACACCCCCCACACACGCACCCACGATCAGGAAAAGAGGAAGACAGTCCGTCCGATCCAAACTCGCTCCGCGATGCGCCTTTTCAGTTCTAGCTCGATCGCTACTCAAATGCCTACATGACATACCCCTGATCCCGTCTGATCCTGTCTGGTCGCCAGGTCTCTTCCGTCGTTCTTCCGCGCCGGTCGGTCAGGACGACGAGTCGGCGGGCCGTACAGGCATGGAGGGTGCCTGGGGGTGCCTGGCCTGAGAGTAGGTGTGAGAGTATGTGTGAGATTGTGTGAGTATACCTTTCGAGAATCTAGAGCCTGAGTGACCTCAATGGAAAAAGCGCCACCTCTCTAAGATATACAGATAATACGCGTGAAAGAAATAATTTATGGCTACGTGAATGGCATGGCTGCAAAAGGATAACTCTTTCACGAATACTAAATTAGGTGGTGAACTCCAATTCCATAATTTCCCACAAATATACATCCATGATTACTTCAGGGAGTGTACAGAAGCCCCCCACATCACCTCCAATTCCCCTATCAGCAAGACATGGCATGGCACACACGCCGCTGTAAAGCCTTCCAAGACCATGAGAAGAGTTCGGTTGACCTGGCTTTGTAATCTAGATAGGGTCCTTATAGTTAAAAACAGTAAAACGATGAATGTTCTGCAAAGTGGCATCAAAGGCGGTTGGAATCCTAGGGTGTAGCCTGTCTTCTTCTTCTTCCCCTTCTTCTTCAGTCCCAGCCCGGCCCATCAATCTCCCTCAGCCATCGATGCTTTCGTTCGAATGACGAAAGCCCAAGCTCGCTTCGAGGGGCACCAAACGATGCTGGAGCCGGATGACGAGCATAGGTGATATGCCCTGAAAACGATGCATGAAAGGTGTTTGTTCGTCTATGCGGCTAGTTGGAAAGTCCTACAAACCGCGTTGCACAGCTCTTTCAGCTCATCTTTGAAGAGGGAAAACGGTCTTCCATCTTCCTGTTTTCAGGTTCTTGCTAGTTGTTTGGGTTTGTCCTTCTGTTGTGACCCCCAGAATTCACGAATTCCTTCGCGGAAGCGGTGAATCTTTTTTTCACGTTGATTTCGCGCACATGGGAGGGTGCTATTTGTCTTTTTGATAATTCCAGAGCATCCAGTTACCACTATAGCTGGTAACCAGTGGTTCCAAAGACTAAAACCATAGACCAAACGAATCCCTGGTTCCTTATATAGTGGCTGCTTGGGATCCATTGCGAGTCATATTGTTTTCACATGTCTTCACAGATTAGATCAGATTAGATCATTATTCAACCTGGTTGTCTTCCCACTCAGCTGAATCAAACCCTTCAACCCTTCGCCGCGACTGCCACCATTGATCACTTCACCTTCGACATGCAAAATTGATCACTTCACCTTCGACATGCCACCATCCTCGGTCCCTTGCCATCACTTCACCTTCGCCGCTCGCTCGATCGCGGTCCTGCTCCAGCAGTTTAAAATTAACGACCTGTTCCCAACATCGGACGCCTTGAGCTAACATCCAATGCTCGCACAGGAACATGGAAGGCACGGACAAAGAACCTGGTCTTGGAAGCAACATGCTTTAACCTCCTTCCCCAGTATGGGCCCAGTATGGCCCAGTCCTTGTTGACCGAGTGCTGGTTTGGCCGAACCGGCATCCAATCAAATGAGGTCAGTCAGACCTGTAGGGTCGAGGCCGCCACTCCACAGCCAGACAGCTGGGCCAGGGATTCAGTACCTCTTCGGGAAGAAAGCGCCAAACAAGCCAAACCACCAAGAGAGGTATCCAAGGACCGGCGGGCCTGCCTAGGGCCGTCACCTGGGGTAACCGGTTCCTGGGATAGTCGAACTAGGGTTTTGACAGTTCTGACCCACCTCTGTTGGAAACGGCTGGTGACAAATCTATATTCCTTGAATAATGCTTAAAGGTTGAACCCAGGATTTTATTTTATAGAATCCTTTCGGACTGAGGTGACTTCCTTATTTTTTTGTGTGCTGAGGTTGGATATCCTTTTTTTGAAGCAAGATTTCGGGTTTATAAAGTCCTTGACCGACCATTTATTAAAATCCTTCTCCCAAGGCCGCTCGGCCTTCTCAAAGTATCGTTACAAGTCTTATTTAAATCCTGGCATTGACCCTGGTGTCTCTACTGAACAAACATCGAATACTGCATTTTTTTCCTTCGAAACTTCCTATCGAACGTTGGAGGCTTCTGGCTGCGCTGTCCGCAAGTCATTGAAGATCTTGGCACGTTTTGTGTGCTAATCAGTCACGTCTGGTGTCAGTGTAAGTTCCATTCAGGAACTGCTGATTCTGATATGCTGATTCTGGTCTGCTGATTCTACTGCGCCCCCCTGAATCATTTCCGACTGTCCACGACATCAGACATGAACCCGATCGACGGAAAGACCCGATCGACGGAAGAGAAATGCAGTATATGCAGAAGAGCACGACATGTACCCCAACTCTATATCGATGTCTATTGGATAGAGGCAAAGAAAACTAAAATCCTGATCTTGACCCACAAGGACCTCCATGTTAAAGATAAACATGTGTTTATAAAATCCTGTGTCTAACCTACCATATGTCCCTTAAGTTCAGTAGTACCGTGACTTAACATGCTTTTCTGAATTTCTGGACCAACGATCAATTTTCAAAGCCTAATCTTTTTTTTTGGTGATTTCTGAAGTCCTGGACGTACGTGATTTTCGGGAAAAAACATTTTTATAAATCCCGGGGTTGGGGTCAAGGATTTTAGTATACATTATTCGAGGGACATAAATCTTGAAGAGACGCCACGACTCTTGACCCAGCTCATGCTCACGTACGCACGTCGTCGGCTGAGTGTAACGAAGGCAAGTCACATGCAGAGTCCAAAGTCGGTTAGTTCAAGGTCCGGTGCTGCAAAATTCAACTGAAAGGAGTTTGCACTGCTTTTGGCAGTGCAGTGCATGGTTCTGCAAAACTCGATGAAGAGCACGGCCTCTTGGCCGACATCGCACCGACCTTGAAATGGAAGATTCGAGGTCTGCAACCCACAGCTACAACTCATTGTACGTACGTTAGTTGAACGAAAAAGCTTGGCACTCCCTAGGGCTGCATAGGGCTCCAAGTGCCTTCTAAGAAGGTGTTTGAGGTGGGTTTGGAATGGTTTGGAGGGTCCAGTCATACCTTCTGAGGAGGTACTTGGAGCCCTTGCCATAGTAGGGGTTTTGCTACGGCTTCGGCCCGGAAGCACCGGATCGATCGCTTCTAGAACTGAATCAACTTCCAAACTCAAGGCCTCCAGACACGACCCATGGGACGGCCATATATGCCGCCAAATTGACCCCCCCTGGCACCACCCCAACTGATCGGCAGTCCTATGGCAGTCCCATGGAGCGTTTGGGATAGCTTCGCATGTGTTCAGTCGTTTTCACTCCCCCAGCCAAGTGCTGAAGAGCCGTGCGTTTTCACGGTAGGTTCGGCCGATCGTGACCTGCTCTCGAACGACGCTTCGCAGATCATTGTGATTTGGCTCCAGAAACTCGTGAACTTGCAAGAGGCCGAAGCCGTTCGCAGCCTAGCTCGTCGACTGGCCTAGCCTCTTGGAACGGGTCTGAAGCTTGAGATCTGCTTGAGGTCCTTGTTACAGGGTGAACCTCATTGATGGGACTGGAACCTCAGAAGCTGCAAAGCGAAAGCCAGCGTTTTTACTTTCGAGTGTGCTTTCTCAGGCCACCCCCCCGAATCCCCCTTCTTACTCAGCTGGCGCCTTGCCAGGTATAGATACCCAGGGTAACTACAATTCAGTTAGCAGGTATAGTACTTCAAGTTCCCTTTCCGTCAACCGCTCGATAACCTTTACACACGCACAGCAATCCACAGCTTTGAAGTCTCATTCTTGCATTGAACTTATATAGGTGTGTAAGAGGTATAGCAACATAGCATTTATACGGACCCAGGGTTAGCTACAATTCTGTTGCCAGGTATAGTACTTCCAGTTCCCTTTCCCTCAACCACTCAATAACCTTTACACATGCTCAGCAAACCACAGCTTTGAAGTCTCATTCGTGCTTTGAACTTATGTGTTCAAGAGGCATGGCAACATGGCATTTATACGGACCCAGGGTAGCTACAATTTTTGTTCCCAGGTATCCCACTTCAATTTCCCCACCCTGGGTCCCGCGCGGAGCCAGGGCAGCTACAAGGCAGTTGCCAGGTATACCCAGGGTAGCTACAATTCAGTTGCCAAGTATAGCACTGCAACCAACCGAAGACAATTGCATTTCTTAAAGACACAAAAAAGCACCTCCAAAACCTTGCTTCCGTGCACCCCTACACACCACCTACTTTCGAGTGTGCTTTGTCAGGCCACCCCCCCGAACCCCCCTTCTTACTCAGCTGGCGCCTTGCCAGGTATAGATACCCAGGGTAGCTACAATTCAGTTGCCAGGTATAGTACTTCCAGTTCCCTTTCCGTCAACCGCTCAATAACCTTTACACATGCACAGCAAACCACAGCTTTGAAGTCTCATTTGTGCTTTGAACTTATATAGGTGTGTAAGAGGTATAGCAACATTGCATTTATACCTACCCAGAGTAGCTACAATTTTTGTTCCCAGGTATCCCACTTCAGCTGCCCGTGATTTAGGTGCGCGCGCGCGGACCCAGGGCAGCTACAAGGCAGTTGCCAGGTATACCCTGAGTTGCGCGGAGCCAGGGTAGGGAAATTGAAGTGGGATACGTGGCAACAGAATTGTAGCTACCCTGGGTCCGTATAAATGCTATGTTGCTAAAACTCTTACACACCTATGTATGAGTTCAATGCAAGAATGAGACTTCAAAGCTGCGGATTGCTGTGCATGTGTAAAGGTTCTCGAGCGGTTGATGGAAAGGGAACTTGAAGTACTATACCTGGTAACTGGACTATAGCTACCCTGGGTAGGCAAGGTGCCAACTACACCTTACCATTCAGATGATGCTAATGATGCAATTTGCATTTCTTGCATCACCACCCCTCAAAAATCACCTCCAACACAACCTCCAAAAACGTTCCATCCGTCCACCCTCCTCCCCCAGCATGCGCCGAGTTTACGTGTACCTTTTGCGGGCCACCCCCCCCCAGACCCCCTAACTACTCACTCTAGATATATATATATATAACATACCAAAAACATATTTATGTTATATACCCAGACACTCCATGTATGGAATATATGCCTACATTGACCCCCCCCTGGCACCACCCCAACTGATCGGCGGTCCTATGGCAATCCCATGGAGCCTTTGGGACATAGATAGGAGATTAATGAAAGGTCCAAAGATGCGATATAATTGACACGCATGACCGCATGACACGCATTTTAAAGAAGCGATGGCACATGGGCCAGCCCCAGCCACTTGCAATTGGTCCAGTTCTTTGCGAGCTACGGTGCAGCAAAAAATGCAGCTTCAAACTTGCGCCAGGCAAAGCAGTTCCGCCGAAATGTCTGTCGTCGAAACCCGTCCCGCCTCGCCAAAAAGCTTTTAAACTTATCTCTTCAGCGGAGGCGGAGATCAAACGTTTTAAAGAGATCTCTGCAGGAGGAGCTCCTGGATGAAGAGGACTCACTAGAAACTCGTTGAGGGAATTCAGTGACGCGTAGTTCCCTGGTACAAATCCCATCCATGGGGACTGGGATCTTTTCACAACTAACTCCCTGGAAAATGCCGGTGAACCCTTTTCAATCTGCAGTGGGGACACCTCCCCAATCCCCCAAAAAGGTGAAAGCAGGGCCTTCCACGTGGAGGCATCCTTCTCTATTACATTCGAATGCCCTACCATTCCTTCAATGCTTTGTTGAGACCGTCAATGGATCGTTTTCGCTGGGGTGGAGCTACACCAGCCAACGCGACCCACCCTCACAGTGGGTGAGTCGAGCGACCGCGGTTCAGGGCTTCACCGGACCGTCCAAAAGAGGAGGAACAAGAAACGTTCCAGCACCTGGACCTTTTTTCGGGGTGTCCAATGGAGGCCAAGAGAGGTTGAGAGACCAGGACTAAGACCCTGTAGTGGTACATATGGGATGGGCTATAGGGCACAGATGATCCGCTGAGGAATCGCACCAAGGGCGTCTGTGTATCTGGGGTCAACCTGCACAGCTGGCTACAAGAAACGTCACCCAGCAGTCATAATTGGACGCATTCGTCAATGCAAGGCTGGAGACCCCAACCCCAAGCCTTCCTTAGTCTCAGGGAGGGGCCTCTATTGAATTGAGGAGTGAATGCACCTGGACCTTCTTTCGGGGTGTCCTGTCTGGAGGTCCCTGATCGTGGTGGGCTGGCGAAACCAGGCAGGCCCCGAACGGAAGGTGCTGGTTCCAGCAGTCACATGGAGGACAGGGTGCGATCCATGAAGGGTGCCGTTAAGCCGCTAGGGTGCGAACCTGTCACATCCAGCCGGATGGGACGAGCCACACTACCCCGCCGTACTTGTGACTCCTGCTTCTCCATCGTTCTCGACCCCGGCTCGCGGTTCATCGAAACATCGATGGAACATGAAGAGACGAATGTCGCTTGGCAACTCCAGCCAGAAAAAAAAACGGTATTCATTGACCTGAAATATAGGACTCGAATTAAATTACTGGGGTACCGGTTTTTGGGGGGGATCGTCGACGTAGGTCCGGCTCTGAGAAAAAGATTTCTGAGTGGCTGTTCTGGTTGAGCGGGATGACACTCCCCAATCCCTTCATACAATAACATTTTGCCCATCCACGAGTGCTTCCTGACTAAATCTTCACCCCAGCCGATCTGCAGATGAATGGTGTTTGTTCCGCAGGAACGGAGCATTTCAAAGCATTTTGGATGACGAGGGAAGAGGTGGAATATTGTGGTCTGGCAAGAAAGGTTGCAGATTTGTTGGTGCTTCGAGAAAAAAACTATCCCGGCAAGAGACCCCAAGCAGTGTGTGTGTGTG